CGGTTGTGGCTTTAAGTGCCTTGCGTGAGTAGATGGACCCTGGGGAGACTTTTCCTCGGTAGGATAAGGGGGACCCTTAAAAGGGAGCCCCTTCTTAACCCTCTTCTGGCTCTCTTAAACACCTTATTCAGAGGGTCAATATCCCCAAGGGTCCCTCTAATCCTATTCCCTAACTTTCCAGGTTCTATTCAGAGGGTACCATTGCAGCATTGGGCTTGGGGTTTAGCAGCCAACGCTTCGGTGCATGAGTGTATCCAGGAGAGAAGGCAGCCACCTGCTCCCGAAACCCCAAACCCTAAGCCCTAAACCTTAAAACCCCCAACCCTAAATCCTAAACCCTAAACCCCCAAAGAACTGTTGGGCCGAAATGTTGCGGTTGCCAAGGGGGCCGAATGGTTTTTTTCTTGGAGGCTTTGGGCTTCAGAAACTCTGGTCCTCAGGGCGTCAAGGGCTTGGCTTCGGGAAGTACAGTAGGTGCCTCGGGTTTTTTGAAGTTGGGGGGGTCGCTTTCGTAGCCAAACCAAGACGGCAACCCTTGAGGCTGGAAAAGGCTGGAAAAGCCACCTGGCATCAACTTAGGGTTTAGGGTTTAGGGTTTAGGGTTTAGGGTTTAGGGCAGTTAGTATGCATTGGTGGCTTCGGTGGTAGATGGCCATCTTCGCTTTGCCACATGGCACCGAATGAGATGCACCGTACTTACGCTGTCCTCCCAGATGATGCTTACTTGAAGGTTCACGGTACTTACTAACCACTTATAACTGTAACTTATAATACCCCTAGAGGGCCGTATTGGGGTTATGAACCTCCAAGTAGTGATGCCGAACACTGAATACATCCGAGGACACAAGAAAAAGAAGATGACCAGATCCGGGTCTTCGCCTCTGGGGCTCAATTGTGAATTAGGCCTTTTTGGGGGGAGGGCACCCTAAACCCTAAACCCTAAACCCGAAAACCCTAAACCCTAAACCCTGAACCGAGGGAGGGAGGGGGGGGGTTAGGGTGTGGTGCTTCAGCACGGCTTTTCGAAGCTGATACACAGAACGCCTCTGAGCTGCCGGGAGTTCCCAGGCCTCCCAAAAAAGGCGGCATGTTACAACCATGCAGCACAGCCCGATAGAGACATCTGCTAGCTGCCTGTTCCCCTAAATAACCGCAGAAGATAGGTTCCCTCTTCAGCAAGGATTCCCATTCCGCGATCGCCCCAATGGGCAAATTGCACTCAAAAAGGAGGGTCTCATATCATTCGGCCATGTGTTGAAAGAACCTTTAGAACATCTCCTAAACCCCGTACTCCGACAACCCCAATCCCTTTCAAGAACCTTCCCTCCCCATCTGAACGACAGCGGCCGGTGGCTCGCGTTGACTTCGTGCGGCTGCGGGAAATCCCCCTCACCGGCCCCCAACTCAACTCTGCCATGCGACAGGTCGCAAATCTCTCTAAACCCCCGAAGCCCTAACCCTAAAGCCTAACCCGAGCTTACGATATATATATATATATATATATATACATATATATACGTATATGTACAAATATATATATATATATATATACATATATATACATACAGATACATGTACATACATATATATATATATGTATATATATATATGTATACTGAACCCGAGTGCCCAGGCTAGGTTCGGAGGACTCGGACTCCGACTTGCTCCTCTACGCCGACGAAGCACCCGGCCGATTTGCTCGAGGCCGTTTTTGGGCCTCTGAGGGTTTCTTTTGGGCTTTAAGGGTTTTTAAGGGTTTCTTCAGGGTTTTTAAGGGTTTTTCAGGGTTTTTAAGGGTTTTTAAGGGTTTTTTGGGATTTCTCCATCTTTTAAGCCCAGAAGGGTTTAGGGTTTAAGATTTCGGGTTTTAGGGTTTAGGGTTAGCCCATGTAGACCCTAAACCCTAAACCCTAGACCCTAAACCCCAAACCCTAAACCCTAAACCCTAAACCCTAAAGAGTAGAGGAGGTACTTCATACCCAACAAGGAGGGCCCAAGTCTTCTGGGAACGACTCAGGGTTGGCCATGGTTCCCAAAGACTTCATTTTTCTTCCTGGGGTGCAGGGTCTAGGGTTTAGGGTTTAGGGTTTAGGGTTTAGGGTTTAGGGTTTAGGGCGTAGGGCTTGCACCGTTTGTGTGATGTAGGGGTTAAGGGTTTAGGAGGCTTCGGGTCCAGGGTTTCTGGGTTTTTGCTGGGCTGCTCTGTATCTCGGGAGCTCTAAAAAAATTCCTCTCTAATAAATGCCTGCTTGTATCCGGGGTTTATTTCTGGTGGGGTTGTAGGCTTGTTTTGTTGGCTTGGTCTCCATGCCATGTGCTGTTGCTGCGACATCTTTCAGAATTAAGTCTATAGCTATGCATTCCCTGTTCGTGTACATGTGCTTCAATGATACAGCGACCCACAGCTACACATGTGTAGCCGATGTTATGCATGCGTGCGCGCGAAGCGATTTCAACAACAATTCCCCAGCGGCGCTGCCTTCTGCCTGACAGGCCCCGTGGAGGTGCGCGCACCCCCACGGATGCCGCAGACCTCGGCATTGCCGCAGGCCGTCCACACCAGCCAGGACGGCTTGGGGGGGGAATCGGGGCCTCCGGCTCTGTAAAGGGTTTAGGGTTTAGGGTTAGGGTTAGTAAAGAAGCCTCGACCGCCCTAAGCCCTAAGCTTTTTCTGTCTAAGCTTTTTCTGTCAACCCGCATCAAAACCGCAAAGCCCTCAAGGCCCAGGGAAAACCCCCCAAAACAATAACCTAAGACCTGTTCAGGGTTGTGCTCGAGCTCTGTGGGTTTGACCCTAAACCCTAAACCCTAAACCCTAAACCCTAAACCCTAAACCCTAAACCCTAAACCCTACACCCTACACCCTAAACCCTAAACCCTAAACCCTAAACCCTCAACCCTAAGTCGAGTTTGTGTGTGTCTGGCTTTCTTGACCGAGGCTCTTCGGAGCACATGTTTTGGGAGATCTGGAGTCAATGAGTCTTGGGATGTTCCCTCTTAGACTAACAGTCCTTAATAGGCATGAGAATAGGGGGTTTAGGGTTTAGGGTTTAGGGTTTAGGGTTTAGGGCTTAGGGTTTAGGGTTTAGGGTTTAGGGTTTAGGGTTGTCCGTAAACTCGTACAGGGAATACCGGCCCTCCTGTTTGGGTGTAAGTATCCACTAGATGGGGTACAGGGACCCGTTGTGACACTGCAGTAAAGACGCCCTAAACCTTAAACCATTAGGGCCCAAGCATTCTGTATCAAAGTACATGGAACGTGTGGGAATCGGAGCCCTGAACGGCCCAAATCGCATTATGAACCATCAACCCTAAACCCGATAATTCTCCAAGAAAGAAACCTTCAAACCCTTCACATTAAGAAGCAGTGCCTTTTTTTTTCTCTTTTTAAAACCCACAAGCCCACAAACCCACAAACCCTAAACCCTAAACCCTATACACCCTAAACCCTAAACCCTAAACCCTAAACCCTAAACCCTAGAAACTCCCCGAAGCTGAAGCACTTCAGCTCTAAAAGCCCGTAAGTGTGGAGAAAGCCAGGGCATGGCGAGCCCGGGGAGCGGCTACCGCCAGCACCTTGGGCTGTTCAGCCCGATCCCAGCTGAAACCTTCTGCAAAGGAAACTCATGAAAGAAACACAAGAAGAACAGGGTTTAGGGCTTAGGGTTTAGGGTTTAGGGTTTAGGGTTCAGGCTGATATTGAATATTGAAATTTGGTTTAGGGGTCCAGGCTTTTCGGAGTCTTCGGGGGCATGCGAAGTTCCCGGCAGATCTGGGAAGAGTCGCAGTTTAGGGTTTAGGATTTAGGGTTTAGGATTTAGGACTTAGGGTTAGGGTTTAGGGTTTGGGAGGGTTTAGGGTTTAGGTGATCTTGGTGCGTTGGCTGCTGGAACCTTTTCTGAAGGGAGTCATACTCGGACCCCTAAGGATGTGCCCCTGAGAGGTCCCGGTATATGTATATATATATATATATAGGTGTATATGTATATATGTATATATATATATATATGTATATATGTATATATGTATATATGTATATATGTATATAGGCATATATGTATATATGTATATATGAAAATATGTATATATGTATATATGTTACATGTATATATGTATGTGTGTATATGTGTATATGTGTATATGTATCTGCATATATATATATATGTATGTACATATGTATATACACATACATACATTCATGCATACATACATATAAGTTTACATTATATATATATATATATATACTCCGAATGTGGCCCTTAGCATTCCCGCAGAGGATCTGGAACAAGGGCTCCCAAACCAAGAGGCTCGGGATTCTCTACTCCAGGGAAGGAGGTTTTAGGCTGAACCCTGCCGAATGCTGCGAGCTATATACACAGTTGGCCACTGTGCCGTGCCAGCCCCTCCTGAAAAATAGCGTGTCAGAGTCAGACCGAAACGCAGGTATCAGATGCCGCCGAACGCCCACCAGCAAGGCCCTGTGTACGCGTAGGCTGCAGATGTTGCAAGAAGTTTTGTCGAAACCTCTGCGTCCTTGAAGCGAAGCTCTGGCGCGTGGTCCGCGGTGGCGGCTGTTGCCGGAGGCGAACGCCAGTAACAATGGTCGCACAATGTCCCGCCCTGCTCAACCACGCAGAACACTTTTTTTACGAAACCATCTCCCTCCTGTTGATGTGAAGATCGTGCTCCTCGCATCCTCGTTCACGGCTTCAGGGCCCAGATGAGTCTGCTAGCTGCGACCTGAAAGGTCTACCGCTTTGCTCCTTTCCCCTTGACTTGACCCTACCAGACGGCTTTTCGGTAGTGCAAACCTTGAACCCTAAAAATCCTTAGTTGTCGGGATCTTATGAGCCGTAGGGTGTCATTCTTAGGGTTGGCTGTCGACCAAGTTCCCTTCCCACACTAGCTAGCTTGGCTTGCCCTATTCCAGGGACCTAAGAATTAGGTGGTTGCTAGCACCTTTGTTGACACAAGAGTGAGTTCCCTGAAAACTGCATGGCATGGTTGCACAGGCGTCCGACTGAAACCAGCAGTGCACCCCAAACCCTAAACCCCTGAACCCTAAGCGTGTGTGCAATCTACCTGGTTCCCAGGGGGGGAACTGGTATGACAGCCCGACAGTGCAGTTTCATACATTTTCTTGGATGCTGGGGTGCAAAAAAAAATGGGAAGCGCACGTCACCAACTGCAAGACACAGACGCTTCTGAACTGCTTCCTCTGGCATCTGCTTCAGCATATTTTTGTCCCAGAAGTGGACTAACTCACTTGCATCACCGGCGAAGGCCAAATACAGATAGTGCGTGACCGTGCAAGTACCAGGGACGGTGCTGCACAAGTGTTCCGAGAGGGCGCATGCCATGTTGCCAGCAGGGTCGAGGTTGAGGATTGTTAAATCCCTAAACCCTCAACCCTAGGCCTTCCCAGTCTGTAAGAGTCTAAACCCTAAACCCTAAAGAGGTCTTCATGGAGTGCAGGCCTTCAGCCCCAAGCCTCATGAGCGCCCTACTTGGAGTGTTCGTGGGATACTTCACAAGCCCAATGAGGGGTTTAGGGTTTAGGGTTTAGGGTTTAGGGTCAGGGTTTAGGGTTCAGGGTGTAGGGTCATAAGGTCATAACCTACTTCGAGGACTTATTTGGGGGGGAGGGGGGGGGGGGGGGGGGGGGCTCATGAAGTGCAATTCTAGTTGGCGCTCTGAGTACCCCGAACATCCTTGTACCAGCTCAATATAATATATATATATATATATATATACACATATATATACATATATATAACCCCACATCCTGAACGCTGCAAGCGGGGCTGTGGGACGTTACATCTTTATGCTGCCATGTTTTCGTCTGAACCATGTACCTATGTAGTATGTACTTGGGCGTTACAGGGTTCCGATATAGTAGCTTGAAGGGCCCAGGACTTCTCCTTCAGAACGCCCGAAGATGTGTTGGCTGCAGACATCTTAACCGGACTACGGGGGGTTCCCAACAAGAGTGCCCTTTCTGCCGGTTCCTACAGCAAAGGTCCTAGTTTTGGGGGAGTATATATTAGGGGTGCCCCTATTTTGGAAAAGTTCCCATATCATCCCTTGGATTCAGCTCTATTCTTTATATATATATATATATATATATTTTTTTTTTTTTTTTTTTTTTTTTTTTTGGGGGGGGGGGGGGTGCTCGGAGGGTCCTTCAGTTTCTCAATTCGCACAGCCCGGCTCGAGTCACTGCGCCCTGCCCACACTCTGTAGCTCCAGGCGCATGCTGGGGAGGTGTTTCCTTCTTCTCCTGCTCACTTCTTCTACGCCGCCACCCACGCCCGTTCCCAACTTGCTGCCCTAAACCCTAAACCCTAAACCCAAACCCCAAACCCGAAACCTTAAACCCTAAATCCTAAACCCTAAGTCGGAGGATTATGGAGCCGCTGATCGACCGTGTGCGAGGGGAGTTGCGCCGCGAGGGGGTGAAACTGTGGCTGAAGCCCTACACACCTCCCCAGGCGCAGGGAATGCCGGGTTTAGGGTTTAGGGTTTAGGGTTTAGGGTAGGGCGCCTTGGCTTCCCCCTGGGGCTGGCAGGACTCTTCCCAGGCCGACCTCAGCCGCGTGTACGCGAGCAGGCGTGAACGTTGCGCAACTTGTGTGCTTGGGGGTTTAGAGTTTAGGGTTTAGGGTTCAGGGTTCAGGATTTAGGGTTTAGGGTTCAGGGTTTAGGGTTTGGGGTTTAGGGTATAGCAGGCCTCATAATCCCCATATGCAAACCTATAAACGGCCTGTTTAGCGGGTGAAAGGGTATGACCTGGGAGGCATCGGTGTCTCTTAGAGTCCTAGGTCCATGGGTTTAGGGTTTAGGGTTTAGGGTTTAGGGTTTAGGGTTTAGGGTTTACTGTGTGCGAATGCAAGACCGTCAGGCTCAATGCAGATGCCACCGAAGTCTGCAAGGACCGCAGGGCACGGAAGCAGCTTAGCTTCGCTGTGTGGCGCTTGAAATCTTGACGTACCCCTCGGTTGCCTTTGCAGGCTAGAGCTTCTGGCTGCTTATCAGCCCTGGCTTGTCTGAGTGAGAGTCGCAAACCTTAACCCTTAGGCTCAAAATAGCCCCAAAACAATTCATACTAAGGTTTTGAGTGAGAGTCGCAAACCTTAACCCTTAGGCTCAAAATAGCCGAAAAACAATTCATACTGAGGTTTTTGGGCTTAAAGACCTTAAAAATAAGAGTCCTGGTTGGGAGCTTTCGGGTAACATTGCTGCCGGGGAGGTTCTGGAAGAGCTTCGCCAGCACGCCCTGGCGAGGTTGCAGGTTCCGTTGGGAAGCGCTAGCCCTAAGGGTCCATAGACCTCATTCTTATACTACTTGGGCCCGAAAGTCCCTCTATAGGAGGTACTTTAAGGCCCAAGTATATAAGAATTAGGTACATGGACCCTTAGGGTAGGATTCTGAGTGGGAGGGCTGGGTGCCATATGGCCCCAGAAACGAAGTTTCCAAACCCCCCTGTGGTTTATCTTTTTGTGGTGCTTTACTGTACATTTAGATCCTTAGCCTTTTTGGGGTCTAATTGGGTTTCCTAGTAAGGCAGCTACAAGTTAGTTTTTAGCTACCCTCCTCCGCGCAGCCAAGTTATGGTGTGAAGGTCAGCCAGGGCATAACTTAGGTGCTGCCTTAGAGAGCCATGATCCATTTGAACAGCAGTGGTGGGTTTCGCGCGATACCAAAACTCAATGACGATTGAGGTCGAGGCAGTGGTAGTACATAGAAGTTTACAGCCTGAAGTGTGTGCCATTATGGCAGCCATTGTATACAGGATACATTGTGCGGCCTTTATGCTTGCACCACTGTGCAGGTTGTGATTTGGGTTAGGGTACATTGTTCCTGCCTCGTGAGTGGCTCCATACTTGGAGGTTCATGGTCTTACTAAGCAATTATAACTGTCCTTATAGCCCACTTCTAAGCCCCTTAAGTGCCCAAACCCTAAACCCTAAACCCTAAACCCTAAACCCTAAACCCTAAAACCTAAACCCTAAACCCTAAACCCTACCAATATGGTCATTATTACAGTTATAAGTACAGTTAGAATTGGCTAAGAAGTACCATGAACCTCCAAGTAGCTGCACACCCAGGAAGCCAGACTGCCCTAAACCCTAAACCCTAAACCCTAAACCCTAAACCCTAAACCCTAAACCCTAAACCCTAAACCCTAAACCCTAAACCCTAAACCCTAAACCCTAAACCCTAAACCCTAAACCTACTGACGCCCGCAAGCCTTGGAGGCCAAAGCAGCCCCCGTCGCAACGCCCCAAGCCTCCAGCCACGGGGCCCCGTAGCTTGGGTCGCAGTAGACATACTCAGCAGGGAGCTTCCGAAAGTAGGGGGTACCCTTTTTGGAGGGTTTAGGGTTTAGGGTTTAGGGTTTAGGGTCTAGGGTCTAGGGTTTAGGGTTTAGGGCTTAATTCGGGTTTAGGGTTTAGGGTTCCGAAAAATGGTGGGGAGGGTACCCTTTTTGGGGTCCCTTTATCAAGGGGATTCTATTCTATTTGGGGTCGACAAGGGGTGCCCCCTATCTTGGGAACCGCCTTCTCAGCGGGAAATTCACACTGTCGTTTGTCGTTTGCAACATCCTTGCTGGTGCGGACATGGGAGGGGAGAGAGAGGCGAGATGCATTTGGCGCGTGCCAGGGTTCTGTGCTTTTTTTTGGGGGGGAGGGGAGGAGAAGAGACTTGTCATCTTTGGGGGGCACGGTTTAGGGTTTAGGGTTTAGGGTTTAGGGTTTAGGGTTTAGGGGATTTAGGGTTACGTCCTCATCTTCCTGAAAACAGGTTCGCCAAAGGATGCACTCAAGCCTGGGAGCGACGACGCTACCCTCGCGAAGTTCTGAAAACGAAGAGGGAAACCTCTCAAGCCCTTTACAATATCCCTAAACCCTAAACCCTAGACCCTAAACCCTAAACCCTAAACCCTCAGCCCACGTGCAGTACTTTTTGCAAGGATTGGCAGCGGTGATACCGTCACGCTGCTGGGCAAGGCTTGCTATTGCCGCCATGATAGCGCTTGAAATGTAACCTTATATGTATCTATATATATATAGCATATATATATATATATGTGTGTGTTTTTTATACCAGACATAACAAGGAGCTTTCCCAAACAATCGCTGAGGGGCAACCTACCCCTCAACTTCAGCTGCAATCGGTTCACTCTTGCTGCCTTTTCTATTGGACTCCTCCCCCCCCAACGCCCCAATCCCACTCCCACCCCCCGCCCCGAAACTTTGGGATGGCCTCTCTTCGCCTGGGAGGTGCTTGGAGCTTCCTCCACGCACCACCGCGAGCTGAGGCTGCAGGCGCCGGGCAATGTGCAGCTATGGGATGCCTGGGGTTTATCGGTACTAGGACCCAGAGAAGGCCCTTATTCCCCCTGCTTTTAGTAGGGTGTAGGTTCCCTTCTAAGTCCCTTTGAGCCAAAAAGGGTACCCTTTACATTCATAGGTTCCTCCAGGGTCTGGGTTTATACGGTTTATAGGGTGTATTCATGGGGTTTAGGGTTTAAAGGGTTTAGGATGAGGCGACTCAGAGCCCATGGGTCTGCATGGCCTAAAAGTATGAAAGGGAGGGTTTTCACATGCACATTTTTGTATTTTTTGTGATAGGCAGCAGAATAGAGGTTCATGGTACTTATTAATCAACATAGGGCTCTTAAGGGTCGTATAAGTGGAATCTAAGTACAGTTATAATTGGTTAAGGAGCACCATGAACCTCCAAGTATAGGAAAGCAGAGCATGGCAGAGTCTGTTGTGCAAGTCATCTTTCAGATGCTCCGCAGTCATTTAAACGCGAAGCTTTGCGGGGAAGCAAGGGACAGGCTTGTAAAATTCCATCGTCCATATCTGGCAGTCGCACCGACATGGCGCGGCTGATCACCATGTTGATGGCCCTTTTCGCGGCAGATCTTGGCCTCGTTTCTTCAAGCCGCGTCTTGGTCCGTGACCTCGCCGCAGACAACTCTTCGCAGGCGTGGCACGCCGAACTGGAGGAGCTGCTTGCGGAGGCCCGAGGTATCTTTGTCATAGTTGGGTAACATTTTACATGTTTATGGATAGTTAAACCCAATAAGGAATAAGCACATAGATGTTTAGTATTCTCCCAACCATGAACGAGGTATGGTGAAAACAGCTACTCAGAAGCTGATCTGGGGGGACAGCGAGGCTCTCGACCTTGCAGCCAAATGGTTTGGGCCGCAAGCTGGCGACGCAAGCGTGAAGAAGGAGCTCTTGCGTGTGATGCGGTCCACGGCCCTCTGGTAGCCCAGTGGTAGCCCCTTTCTCCCCTTTTTTTTGGGTTCAAGGTTCCCTGATATAAAGTAACCAGCCCAAAAAAGGGTGTGCCCTTGTTGTAAAATGGCTGCTGGGCTACCAAGCCCTAAACCCTAAACCCTAAACCCTAAACCCTAAACCCTAAACCCTAAACCCTAAACCCTAAACCCTAAACCCTAAACCCTAAACCCTAAGCCAAGGCCCGCGTCTTGAGCAACTTCAAGGCCGTGAAGAAGAGGTGTGACCGGGACACCTTCGCGTACGTCTTCCCGGAGAAGTTCCCGAAGCGAGGCCTCTACGAAATGATCTTGTGCCCGTTGCACCTTAGGAATACTTGGGAGAATATTTTCCCATTTTTTGGGGGTATACCATAAGAATTCCTAGAAGAAACAGCTATAAAGCTATAAAAATCTAACTTTTTGCTTGGGCTCCAAGTTCAGCTTAGGTACTTCAAGTCGAGCCGAAAGGTGCAGCTTGAAACTCTCATTCATGAGGCGTCTCATCATAAGAAGCTTGGTAGCCCAGTGGTTTAGGGTTTAGGGTTTAGGGTTTAGGGTTTAGGGTTTAGGGTTTAGGGTTTAGGGTTTAGGGTTTAGGGTTAGGGTTTAGGGTTTAGGGTTTAGGGTTATGGGTTCCCTTTTTCAAGTAGCCAAACCCCCAAGAATTTAAAAAGGGTGCCCTTGTCATACTGTCTTATAATCGTAGCCAACCCCAGAAAAGGGGTGCCCTTATTTATAGACTCTTGGTACTGGGCTACCAAGGAAGGCTTTGCTGGACGATGTCTGCATCTTGCTTCGCCTTCAGTTGAACTTTAAACTTTTTGGGCTTCCTTTTTTAGTGGGAATATGAAAGTTTAACCTTTTTCCCTAGGTTTTTGGAGAAAGTAAGGTCTGGACAGCATTGAAGGGCGCGGCCGCCGCCAGCGGGAGACTAAGGAATTCATCGTCATGAGCCACTTAGTAGCTGCGTGAGTACACTTTACACTTTTTGGGATACTATACCCATAGAACTGAAAGTGTACACTTTTTGGGGGGCTTGTGAACTCAGCAACTAAGGCCAAAACCTTGTGAAGAAGTACGCTGGCATCACGCCGGTCCATCCTGACCTGCATTTCGAACTTGACGTTGATGAGGTGTTAGACTACATCTACTTCGTTGACCCACAGACCCTTGAGATTCTTGAGGATGACGATGAGGACTATGAGGATGAGTATGTTTCAAATCCGGATGATGAGTACTATGGCTATGGCGACGACGACGAGGAGGAGGATGAAGATGAGGACGAGGATGAAGAAGAGCCGGCGGTTGTCCATCGCATCGTTGATTTCTCGGTGGGTGGCAGGGTTAGGAAGAACATGGCCTTGGTCCAACTCAATCCCGCCGATGATTGTGAGGCTTGGCAGCCCTTATAAAGCAACCAAGCCCCCAAAAAGGGTGCCCTTATTATTCCCCTTTTTTTGGTTCAAGGTCCCCGTATAAAGTAACCAGCTCCCCCCCCCCAAAAAAAAAAAAACAAAACAAAAAAACAATGCCCTTATTTCAATTGCTGTGGTTACCGGGCTACCAAGGAGGACAAGGCGTATGGGCGCAAGGAGTGCGCCGAGATGGCTAAGGTGAGCCCAGTGAAAGCACTCCGAAACTCGGACCCAGAGGATTCCCTAGGGTTTAGGGTTTAGGGTTTAGGGTTTAGGGTTTAGGGTTTAGGTCCCCTTCTAGACGCCTCGAAAAACCAAAAAGGGTACCCTTTTTGTTCCTAGGTTGCTCTTGGGCCGAGGAAATGCCGACAACTTCTGCTACTTTGTTGTGGACGCCTCATCAGGAAGGGGCTCCCTTCTGGAGGAACACACAGCAGGCAACGCAACTGGCCTCAGCATGCAGTGCGACTGTGATCTTGCTGCCAGCGGCAAGAACTTCCACATCGCTTATCAAGAGGCTTGGTAGAATCCGTGGCACCGTTTTGCCCTTTTTTTTTGGGTTTCTACAGGTTCCCTTGTCAAGTAACCAATCCCCCAAAAGGGCACCCTTGCTTAAATATGGTTAGAGGGCTACCAAGGAGGCTCATGGACGTTTGGCAGATGAGGGGCAACGTTCCCGAGCACGGGCCTCCTACGCAAGGATTTGTGGTTGTTAGTCTTCTCTCAGAGTTCCTTCGAAGCCCTGATGATGCTTCTCTAAGAGAGCAAGGCAAAAGGGAGCAAAAGGGTGGGTTTGTGGATTGGGGATTCTGGGGACTTCGGGTTAGGATGCGGCTAATTAGAGTGGGGCTGCATGGCTGAAGATTGAAAACCGTTTGGCGTATGTTATAGAAGGTTGACTGGGGGAAATCGTATGTGTGTCAGTGCAGGGTTGAACGGAGCCAGTGGCAGGCCCGATGAATAACCTAGACTAAGTATGTTCTGTTCGTTGGGGCAGTCCCGGGTGCAAGTACATGTGCAGCTCAGTAAATATTCAACATACCCCTAGGGCATACCCCTTAAAAGAAATTAAGGGGTATGGTAACATCCTCCCTTAGACTCCCTTTATGTTATACTTTCATAGGATAAGGGGTATGGGTTTGAGATGGTGTTTGGGGCTCTCGGTTTTAGGGACTTGCAGATCACCGAGCCTGAACCCTAAACCCTAAACCCTAAACCCTAAACCCTAAACCGGCAAAATCAGGGGTACTGCCACTCTCCAAAAGTCCTGGCTGCCTGCGCAGGTGAAATCTGCACAAACGGGAGAAGAGGTTCGCCGGCAGCTGTGTCAAGAGCTGGGCCTCTCCAATGTCAAGGTCATAGCGGGGGGCAAGACCTTGCAGGACTCGCATGAGATGCGGATGACATCTTGAGGGTCGAGGGTTCTTTCTAGCTTATATTGGATCGTTATACACATGGTGCGCACACATGTTGGTGTAAACGGCTTAGGGTTTGGGTTTGAGGGCTTGACAAACCATACCATGGCGCCCTGGCTGCATTTTCAGTGATTTGGGAGTATTTCAGACCATGCCTCTTGACTCTTCCCTCCACTTGTAGGCGCATGTCTTCACCGGTCGGCCTTGCCCAGGACGGCGCAACGCTGTCCGATCAGGGCTGGCGCGCGGATCCTGCTTGTGGCGTGCTGCGCGTGCTGCTGCTCCCAGGCAAAGCCTTTGTGGCGTGAATTGGGAGCTTCTCCCACATGGTTGAAAGTGTACGGCTCCTTTTTGTTGGCGGCGAGATGGCCTCCTCGCACACACCTGCCTAAACATGGATTTGCACTAGCTTTGTCTTTTTACAGAAGTACATATTGATAAACGTTCAAATTTATAGAAACGGAACGTCTAGCTTGCATGTTATATATTTACGTGCCTCTAGAATTGCATCGTACTCGCAGGCCCCGCCGCCGCCACGTCTTCCACACCTGCAGCAGCAACTGAGCAGGCCTCAAGACTCGCGGAATCTTCCGGACATGTTTTAGGGTTTTAGGAATTGTTTTCGAGTAATTAGGGTTTACGTAGTTCATGTAGGGTTCAGGGCATGATTTGGTGAGGTTTGGGACGACTTAAAGGGCTGTCATCGTCCTGAAACGTTACGCCAGCACCCCATCGTCACAGCTTAGGGTAGCTTCTTCTTTTTTTGTTGGGGGGACCAAAACTTTCAGCACTAGTGGTCTTGGTGCCCCTTGTTCAGGTCATCGACTCTGTCGCTGTTTGCTCTTCTTAGATGTCATCTTCGTTTTTCTTCTTCAAGCACCCAGGAACCTTAGTCAGCTGCCTCGGCTCCTACACCGAAATTACAGGGTTCTTAAGGGAAGGGGGTTCACTAAGGTTCCCTAGGTACCTACCGCCCCCTTGAACTCCTCTCCCTTGTGAACCCTATAACGGAAAGGCCGCGCAAGCCGCGCCACCGACTGCGACCGCACCCGATCCGGCAGGCCGTGAGTGCTTGTATCGGTTTAGGGTTTAGGGTTTAGGTTTTAGGGTTTGGGGTTTAGGGTTTAGGGTGTATCTTTATACTCGAGTACAGCTCTCAGATAAGATAGGCTAGACGGGAGCTCTGGCTTTGTGTGGTGTCGTCGCCTTAAGTCCTCCTTTCTGGTGCAATCTTCGATAAACAAGGGAGCTGGTCGTCCCATGTGTTTTGTATGGTTATTCATTGAGAACTTAATGCAATTGAGGGCAGGGAAAGAGCGCAAGTCGCCTGCTGTAGAGATCAGGCCTGGTCCTGCGTGTCTGTCCTTCAGCAAATTGCGCGAAAACTTGCAACCCCAAAGCACTCAGACCTTACAGAAGCCTTCGGAGCCTCCGTCCCTCGAGCTCTCAGAGCCTTCAACCCCCGGATCTATGTGGGGGGGTTTCCCGTCTTGGGGTCCCTTTCAAGGGGCTTCTATTCTACTTGGGGTCTAAGAGGGGCACCCCCTAATTATTTCGGAAAATACCCACGCCCACATACCACCAAGACTCGTAGGGTTGGGGTTTAGGGTTTAGGGTTTAGGGTTTAGGGTTTAGGGTTTAGGGTTTAGGGTTTAGGGTTTAGGGTTTAGGGTTTAGGGTTTAGGGTTTAGGGTTTAGGGTTTAGGGAAACAGGGGTTCTTTCAGGCGAGGGCCCCTGCACCATCGCCCAGCTTCGGGCTGCCGCAGAGCGGCTCACGGCCGAAGGCTTCGGGGACTTCGCACCAGGGCTGCAGCGAGCCGGGAAGAAGGTCTTATAACTGGTGTTATTATTGTTATTATTATTAGTATTACTAATATCACTATATTACCATTGTTTGCATTACTACTATTTTGATTTCCATTTTTACCTATTACTATTATTATGTTATTATCATCATTGCTATTATTACAATTCGCATTTTATTGCAACTTTCTGTTATTTGGGATGTTCCCCCTTCACCCTTCTACTAACGGTCCTTAATAGGGATGAAAGTGCTCCCTATCAAAATCCCGACTAAGGACTGTTAGTCTAAGGGGGAACCTCCCAAGTCTTGTATAACCTGAACGTACAGGGCTTCGAGCATTCAGGGCCGGGGCTTCAAGTCGGTCATTGTGCCGAGATTTGCAGAGGTTTAGGGTTTAGGGTTTAGGGTTTAGGGTTTAGGGTTGTTTGGCTCCCAAAGAGATGCAACAAGCCGAAAGGGCCATCTGGGATACGTCATAGTCGAGTTACAAAATTAATGCAAGAGAATGTACATGTTTTGGCACATCATCATCTGTTTGTGGTACATAGGGTATCATACTTACTATGTATAGTTCTCCTTTTGAAAATGAGTGTAGGTCACGCTAGGATGAGCTTACCCTAAGGCTCCAATAGCCCAAGGTAGCTACAGGCCTAGACCCCCCCCCAAAAAAAAAAAAATATATATATATATATATGAGCTACTAACTAAAGCCTTACACCCCCATAGACCCTAGCTCGGTATAGTTTTGCATACTTGGCGCCCTAGGGTTCCTTTTGACTCCTAAACCCTGAGCCTTCAACCCTAAACCCGAAACCCTAAACCCTGAATCAAAAACCCAAAGCCCTAAACCTTAAACCCTAAAACCGAAACCCTCAACCCTAAACCCGAAACCCTTGAGCCGTGTCCCAAGGAGCTCTCCGATGCTTCGACGGGGCGTCTCGTGGCCGTGCCACCGGGCGCGCGTCAGGCGGCGCGCCTGTTTAGGGCTCATAGGTTCATGGGGTCTTTTTTTGGTGCAGCATGAGAACCCTAAACCCTAAACCCTAAACCCTAAACCCTAAACCCTAAACCCTAAACCCTAAACCCTAAACCCTAAGCTGACTGCGAGGGTCAAGGCTTCAGATGTCTCAGCTGGCGTTCTTTGCTTCGCATCTTCATGGCCCGGCACCGTGCCACAACCCATGAAAGCCTGAATCAAGCAGTACAACAAGGGTTTAGGGTTTAGGGTTGAGGGTTTAGGGTTTAGGGTTTAGGGTTTCGGGTTTAGGGTTTAAACAGCTTGAGCGTAAGCCATAACCTCTATCAAAAGTCTGGGTCATTGTAAGCCCCTAATGCCATCACAGCTATGCCCTGGACTGGCGAGGCCCTTGTCACAGCCATTGCCTTGCGCCTTGGATGTTAGCATGGAGAAGTCGATAATATGCGGCTTCGTGATCACGGGCTTCAAAGACTCCATCGTCTCTTCAGTAATTAAACATATTCCTCAAATCTTAAGAGGGTTTGTAATTAGTGGTATGGTTTTATGAAAGAGAGCTTCATCGAGAGCACGTGCTTGGATTCGGGACTACGTGCCTTCTTGGTCTTGAGAATTTTTCACCTGAAACCCTAAACCCTATAAACTCCGAACCCTGAACCCTGAACCCTAAACCCTAGGATAACAGCCACGGCTGAGCGCACAAGCTTGAAACAAGAAACAATGAACTGCAATCAACCCCCTGCCAACAAGGGGCCCTCATGTGCATGGTATCTTCCAAAATATGGGACCCCCTGAACCGCTGCCCACGCCCCCTAAATGATGATAAAGGGTACCTTTGAAAAATGCTCCCCCCTTATACTAACAGTCCTTACTAGGGATTACAATTGGGGGTACTAGAATCCCTATTCAGGACTGCTAGTATAGTCAAGGTACCCGCCCCCCCCAACCCCCCCCCCCTCCCCCCACCCCCCCAACCTCAAAATCGTATCGTCCCCCTCCACGCAGTCAAGGCATGCAAGGGGCCGGGAGCTGCTAGCAGAGGAGGCCGGAGCCTTGAGATTTTTCGGGTTTAGGCTGCCTGGTTCTTAGTTGGGAATGAGGTGCCCAGTATGCCCCTTTGCTTTCCCTTTTAAGGGAGCCCTCTGTATACCCTTTAAGGGATTACAGAGGGCACCTCATTCCCCCATGCCCTGCAAAGAGCTCGGCGGTAGGGCCTTTAGTTGGGCACCAGCAGCTACCGCATGCCACCTGCGCGTCCCGACTTCACTTCTAAGATGCAGGGTTGCATCACCAAGAGAATGAGAAAGGACCTTGATATAAAGGTATTTCAGAAGCAGTTTTCAACCAGGATGGGTTATCATACCCTATAACCTCCTTAACGGGCCCTTTATCGGGTTGATCATGCGGATTCTAGGGCCTAGTAGCCCATCCTGGAACGATGCCAGCTGCAGATTGAAGTTTTTTGTCAAGCCCAAACCCTAGCCCTAAACCCTAAACCCTAAACCCCATACCCTAAACCCTAAACCCCAGTTTTCAAGGATGCGAACTGGATATTGAAGGTTCGAAGTCTCGCGCCAGGAGGGCGGGGCCGTCAAGGCCGTCGAGTTCCTCGTGGCGACTAAGCCGAAGAAGCGTCTTCTTCAGTTGTGTATGGGGTTCAGGGTTTAGGGTTTAGGGTTTAGGGTTTAGGGTTTAGGGTAGAATGCTGATGCTGGTTAGGGGCCCTGTGTCAGCCCCCCGCCACTCCTCCCACTTCAAGTTAAGCTTTCGAGCTTTGTTCAACCGAACCGCTGTAAGACCCTAGGGCCGTAAGCTAGGTAGCAAGACAAATCCACAAGCCTAAGCCCTATAAACCCTCAACCCCTATAAACCATAAACCCTAGAAACCCTAAACTCTATCAACCCCAAACCCTAAACCCTAGCAACCCTAAACCCTGTCAACCCCAAAACCCTATCAACCCCAAAACCCTCTGAACTCCAAAACCCCACCAACCCCAAAACCCTATCCCGAAACCCTGTAAACCCTAAACCCTAAACCCTAAACAGGAGGCTAGCAGTTCCTTTGACCGATGCCGCGAGAAGGGTGCGGCCGACATCATGGCCACTTCGGATGCAGGTGCAGGCTTTGGGGAGGTGTTAGCGGGAAGGGTTTAGGGTTTAGGGTTTAGGGTTTAGGGTTTAGGGTTTAGGGTTTAGGGTTTAGGGTTTAGGGTTTAGGGTTTAGGGTTTATTAGGGTTTAGGGTTCAGGGTTTAGGGTTTAGGGTTTAGGTTAGGGTTTAGGGTTTAGGGTTTAGGACCTGTAGGGTTTAGGGTTTGGGGTTTAGGGCTCAGGAGCCTCCGCAGTCCTGGGGGGAGGAAGGGTATAGGGGCAAACGCCGACTTGACTTGTGTGGGTTTAGGGGTCAGTTTCTCCGAGTTACGGGGGTTGTTTAGGGGTGTCTTTTGGGAGTCCACATGGGCAGCATTTTCCCAGGGCTGGATGCAAAAAGGGCTCGGGTGATTGGGAACTATCCGTTCGGTTTGCTT